TCTCTCTCTCTCTCTCTCTCTCTCTCTCTCTCTCTCTCTCTCTCTCTCTCTCTCTCTCTAGGCGCAAAAAAAATAGCGTGGAATAGTAAATCCACGTGCAACTGAGTAGTTGCTGACTAGTTACTGACTTGGGAAAAAATCGTTATATCAATAGTAACTGTTAGGCTTCATATGATAATTACAGTATCGTCATCATAGTATCTCGCTGAGTCAGTAGCGAAATCGAGGCTGCGATTAATAAAACATAACGGCGCCTAAGCATTAAACTGAAGGCACAGCCTTGCTTCCTGGCAAGGTCGAAACCAGGGTTATTCCGACGAGTCGAGAGGCACCTTTCATTAAGGAAAAAACTGCGATCATTCGCGGTCATTATCGCAAAGTCGTTCATTTCTGGCGAAAGTTCTATGAGATTATAAGCGTGATTTGGACATTTCAAGCACGCGAAACGTGCTCGAAAGTCGAGACCAGAACGGGTTCAGAATGGCGCCGCCAAGTTTCTTGCGCCGAGGATTGTCATTTCCAGGAAATACAGTGCGTCTGCGGGACGCGGAATTTTCGATAACGTAAACGCGTCCAACCTGTTTCCCAAATCCCATGAGGCTGCGTTTACGCTCGCATGAAAAAATATATATTTGCTTCGAAATCAAAGTAGCAACATTACTTCCGGAGGCATTATACTTTTATTATACAAAGAGTACTCGTTTCTCATAGATAATAATAAAGTCTGCATTCACATTTCTTTTATCAAAATAGCGCGTATTTATTTCTCTGATTCTATTATAGATGTATATAATGTAAACTATATGTATATGCTAAATGCGTGCTTTATCGATGAAAGTGAATGCGGTCGTAAAACGTGAACATATTTCATGAAATTCGCGTTAAAATTCCAGAGTACATTCTTAAATTAATTTTGAATCGATCTTGTTTCTGTTTACAAATTTAAATTTTCGAATTTAAAATTTCGACTAATCAAAAATTATTCTTTTGGACGAACTAAACTTTGGAATGTGTATATCCGATTTAATGAATACATGAAATATTTGTTGCTAATAATAGATTAATATAATAGATGCTAATGCTTCTCAAGTCTCAAAGTGCTCGTTAAATTTGTATAAGTTTATTGCTTCTTTTTGATAACTTGTAGTATAACGATTCATTCTAAAAACCTGTTTGAATCGTGATATCGAAGCTAAAAGTGATTTAACATCCATTTAAAGCAGTGGTTATCAATGACTAATAGGATAACTATGCAAAGTCCTAAAGCTGATATATGTATGTACCTTTAATTATAGATACTTATTGATCTGATATCGATTTCTTTTCTACATATATGTTACTAATAATTCTTTAGCAAAGAGAACAATTAAAAAACTATTCCAAAATTAAACTTTATGTACATATAAACTAACATATTTTATATACAACGTGTTATAGATTGCAATAAATCGAGATCATTGTTGATTACGAAACAAAAATTTCATTGTTTTAGTCTAAATACAATTCATATGAAAAAAAAAAGCTTAATAGAATGAAGCAAATCTATTTTTGTCTTAAAATTTGAATTTTTTGTGTAACGTGCATTGACATTTGTTTTATCATTTACTTCATAATCATACATGCATATCTTGAGTATCTGCGATCGAACAGGATGACTCACAATCTGCGGGAATACCCCGAGGAATTTAATTTTATTTTTATTCTTTTAGTCAATATTTATGAGATTATATCTAGGAAAGAAATAACCGTGGTTATTCTAGCCAGGTATGATCCATTAAGATTTATCGTTTCTTCATTTTTTTTCTAATCTTGCACGTTCGAATCGAAATGAGTTCTTAAGAAAATTCTATTTTATATTTATATTGGCTTACGCACATTAAGTTTCCCAATACAGCTAATATAAATACGCAGGAAAATTGCTGACCGCGAATTAATAAACTAATTACATGGAAAAAAAGATTTTGCAATTAACTTGAGCATTTTACATAATTACTTTTTCAATCCAACAAAATTATTTTTAAATCTGTATCTACAGTTAAATTATTAGATACTTCAACAAAGTTGTTAGTTACTTATTTCTTCAATTTTATAAATGTAAATCGCAACAATATAAGTTTAGGTTCTTATAAAATTATATTGTTGCAAATGAATATTATCACTAAAACTCTTGAATATTAAATTTTTCGAAATACAGCATACAGAATAGAATACAAGAAACTTGTTGACCGCAAACTTGTTAATCTAAAGTATTTTGAAACAACTTTTATTTTCGATAGCTTTCGACCACAATCTCAGATTTTCTGCTTGGTCATATAAGACGCAACTTATGACCCAGTGTGTTCTGTGCTTAGAATATAATCTAATCATATCTTCTAACAATGTATATAATATATATGTAATAATTTATTTTTTAGATACCACTCGATTTAGCTGCTAAATTAAATACGATAGACTCGTTGGAGGAGTTTCTGCAGCTTCTTCACGGTGTTTCACAGCACGAAAAGGGTATCACATTTGCCAGTAAGTATAATTCGCTACTGCGTTATCTTTGTTTTCTAAATGCAAATATAAATAATGCAATGGTAAATAATCTTAAGGAAAACTCATTGTAAATAAGAAGGAGTAAACCAGATTTACTCGTTGCAAATTCCACTTTATTGAATAGAAACATCAAGGATAAAAATCTTATTATTATAATTATAAAAAATTAGAAAATGCGTCGCCAAACAAACATTTGGAAATATATTAATATTCTTCATCATGTTCCAACATCTCGTACAATTGCATATTAATTATTAAATGCATTACAATTATATACCATTATCATAGGGAAATTAATTAAGTTCATAAAGATACAAATAAAGATAAGATCGTGATAAGATCAGTATTTTATTATCTAAGCAGAAACATAAATTAAATCGCGGCGCAATAGATCTTTTGATTATTCCATTGTTTATACAAACGCGTAATTATCATTGTAAACTGAGATCATCTAATAACATAAATCATACGTACATATTTTGATTTTCAGTGCATGTGAATTAAATACTATGTAATTATAAAATAAATATTGCATGCTTAAAATATATTTTTCAATCTTGCAAGAGTTAAATGATTTTTCGATTAATACAGGAAACAGCCTTTCCGTTACAAATGAAAATTCGCGTATCCGGCCAATTGATTCCCCTGACGATATTATCTAACTAAGAGCAAATACGTCCAATCATCGTCATTTAGCCACAAGCTTGTGCGATAGTTTTATATTGTTATTTCTTGTGTGTTAGATATATTAACTTGGACCTTCGAATAAACGATCTCATGAATTTGATACATGACATTAAATGGTTTTTTATTTGGACAATGGGAAATCAATTTATTGTTGACATAACGCAAGCAAAAATGCATATTGGGATTTTTTTTCGCTATTTCAGCCTCGAAAAGTTTTAAAAAATTTTCGCGATCCTCTAAGAAGTTTAAAGGTTGTAGATAACCACCGAAATGATTTACATCTGGTATTAATGTGTTGCTAATTTGAATCGCCTCTTCTAAACTTGGCAATTTACTTTCCTGTGTTTTATCTGTATCGTGACATATCTTAGTCGAAAGTTCTGATTTGCGAGCAACACAATCATTTTTCTGTGCATTATGACATTTTCTAGCAATCTTCGACGAATTGTCATCATTTAGAAGCGAATACATGATCTGCAGCTTGCATTTTCGTATCCAGATTTTCTTTTTAATAAATGAATTTGACCAATGATATAGAGAATCTAAAAAATATAATTTAACATTTCTAATATTTATATTATTGGTAAAATATATAAAAATTATTTCTGTAATTTCATTTATATGTAATTTACATCTTTTATATAAAATTTAATTTAAAATATTCTAAAGAGCAATGTCTGAACAATAATAAAATATTATATATATATATATATATATCCATCCGATGATTATTTTTAATTAAATTTATTTCTACCTGTTTGTGTATTCATTCGTATAAATTTTATCTCTCCATTCGCTTCCAGGTACTTATTGTTAGTCGTGTTAGCTTCAGTAACAGGTCCATCTGCTTGATCAAGTTCTCTGTTGATGGCTCTGACAGTTGGTGCCATTTCCTCTTTCAATTTTATCCTATTAATGTTCTTGCCGACGACTTGCTGAGACGTAATCTCGGGCTCGAAAAGATTATAGAGATCGCCCTCGTTAAGATCACGACTCTGGTCATCCATCTCGACGATTGCACTAAATTTGTTTTGATGCATGTCGATATTGGTATTCACATCCTTAAATCTATCTATTAAAGTTTTCAGTTTTTCTTTTCCTTTTTTATCTTGAAATTTGCATCCGTTAGAAGCTGCTTCGTCTATAGAAATTGCATCGTTCACATTGCTTTTCTGGTCATCACAATCTTTTACGTGGGTCGTTGACATTTCACTCTCATGTGAAGAACGAGCCGGTAAATAATCGCTCGTGGAGGTTCCGCAGTTATTGTTCTGTTCTAAGGACTGGTTTATCTTCCTACGCAAAAATTATAGGTACGTGCGTGAGACCATCTAATAAGTGTTAAACTTCCTCAAATGCATTTATTGTGCACGTATCCAATAATAACATGTATTAACTAATTTTTTGATAAAGATGTTTGTTGTTTCATAAACTTGGACAATATAATTGACAAATGCAATTATGAATATATGCATAATTTATCATTAATTTCAATGTCCTCACCGATTCAACTGTTCACTTTTGTGAGAGATACCGGAAATTGGCATAATATCAGAAAATTTGTGAAAAGATTCCGTTTTATTGGACAGCATAAAGGCAGTTACTTTTTTTCTTCCCGTAATCACTTTCCCGAACCATTTGAGTACTACATGCTCTGCAAGATGATCCTTAAAACCGGGAACCATTCCATCGACCAACATGAAATAATAGTTTGCGATTGAAATTGCTTCGGCATGTTCATTGACCATTTTCCGCCTTAAAAAAAATAATCTTATTTTTAAAAATAATCGCTATCTAGAAAGAATCTAATACCAATTTAATAATAAACTTCTGATTATATATATGATTTTGTTTATCTCTTAACAAGTTAATACTGTTTTAATAACATAACTTGTTACAACTAATAAATTAAATGTTAATTCTTACAATAATAAATACAATATGGAAAGGACAATTTTTCTAAAAATTTAGTTGATACAGATCTAAAAATTATTTTTTGAATCACCAAAATAATAATTATGTAAGATGTTAAAAATAATTGCTATGTCAAAATTTTCGCAACACTGCTCATCATGCTTGAAATCTAATTTATAATGTGCTTTTTATTTTCTATATTTTATCTTTTACTTTTTTCTTTCCATTTTATCGATATCATATTTCTTGTCTCTTCCAAAGTCTCTTCGTCAACTTTATCTCGTGTGACAGAAAATAAAAAAACAAGATATGAAACAAAAAGACAGGAGATAAAAAGCAATGAAAGCAAGAAACAGGTAGCGAAGTGCATATTGTACATTAGGTTTATGTGTTCTATATAAATTATTTTGATAATTCAATAAAATTATTTTCACAGATTTGTATCTAGATATATTTTTACATACTTCAGAAAAATCGTTCTTTTCTTGAAGACATTTACAAAACATTTGATAATTAATATTATCTACTTGGAAATTAATACATTTAACAGCTTGTTTTCTACATATTATGAAACATATTTTCTATTACGTAAACTGGAGACTATGTCATATCTTCGGTAGTGTAAAAAAGAAAGTTTTTTTTTGATTACGTTTAAGATATAAATAAGAATTCTTTCCAGATAGATTCGGAGGTGAGGAACGATCGAACGCAATGATACCAGTGCCAGCCAAGTGCATGCCCGAGCTACAACTCGTTTCCCTAAAAGTGGACGACGATCCTTCGACATTCGTCTTCCCACTCTGCACACGGATCAAAAGATGTGGCGGTTGTTGCATTAGTCCTCTGCTCTCGTGTCAGCCAACAGCTACAGAAATGCGGAACTTCGAAGTAATCAATATTGAGTTAAAGAGCACGAATGAAAATGTGTATAATAGTGTGAGCAATCAACTTGAGAAAGAGCAATAATTGAACATGTTTTCTTACGTTGTCTCAAGGTGATCGTGACGTCGCTGATCGATATGGACTATCGGGGACGACAAATTGTGCCGGTGGAGGAGCACACTAAATGCAAGTGCGATTGCAAAATCAAGGAAGAGGTAATTTGATGGCGACCGATAATTAGTGGTTAATTAATGTCTTGCTGCTTAACCGAGCCGTGTCATTTATGAGTTTCACATCGTCTTGTCGTGTTCATTGTTTCTCACGATGCATATATTATATGTATCGCATCACTTGAAAACAATTTACGTCAGCCGGCCGGCTGAAAGAAACACGGGTTCCGTTTTCAAGCGTCTCAACAATGCACGAAAATTAGAAACGGAATAATAGGCATTTCAAAGGCATGAATCACATTTTCCACGTGTTCATCTGCATCCTCGCTCGTCCTTCGGATATATTGCGAAATTGACGTTTCAATTACTTGAGATATTATATAATCGCAGATGCAAAGAGATGTGAGATATAAAAAAAATTCTAAGATTCTCTCTAAAAGATGTGTTAGTAAGCATTAAGATCATTTGCACGGTGTTCAATGTACACAGTACAATATTTAAAGATTTATTACAGATTTATACTTTTTAACAAAATGAATTAAAATTATAGTTTTCCTATATGTATTTGTTTTTTTATTATATTTGAAAATAAGAAGTTCAATGGCGATCAAAAATCTGGATCGAAAATTATTTCAATAACAAGATATATACATATATATAATGTTAGTATCGTCAATTTATTTGAGCTGAGATTCTTTTTTTATATGAAAAGCATACGTTTCTAATTCTATTTTGCAGAGAGTATACCTAGCATATCCTTAATCTGAATTATGAAGTGAAATGAACATAAAAGTTTAAAAGCAGGACATAATGATGCCCTTTTGGGCATCTCATAAGATGTCTTATGTCCTTTAAACTTTGTATTGTCAGGAATATAATTCAGATTAAGAACGCATTAGGTGTATATTCTTTGCAAAAAAGTGACTGGAATTGGAAATTTATACTTTTCCATATAAAAATTTTTTTTGAGAGACAGTTTAAAGTCATTTTTGCGAAAATGTCGTATGTCTTGATTTTGGTCTTTGGTTATCTGAGAGGCTAAGGTCGTTTCTCAATATATACCAATTTCGCTGATTGCTACAATTGTCGCTTCCTTGCAACGTGCGCGAACGCTCGCAAAGTGTGTCAATGCGGAGGACAAGCGAAATTCAACCGTGTTTGTACGAGCATGATAAGTGTTGACACTCTTTTTCGTCGATGATTCATGCCACGTCGGTTTTCCTTGTTGCTTTCAGCACTGCAATGATAAGCAACATTACGAGCCGCACAACTGCAAGTGTGCCTGCAACAATGTGGACGAGGAAGAGAAGTGCCGTAAGAACGATACGAAGATCTGGAACTCGACTCTCTGCGTTTGCACGTGTAGGATCATCGAGCCATGCACCACTGGATACTACTTCAACCCCAACACGTGCAGGTGTGAGCCAACAGAATAGGGGACTATCTGCTAAAGGATAAGGCGTTCTCCTTTTTCATTGCACGTCATTATTTAATCATGATTTGCGAACGCACCGATTTATTTCTCGTCCACCTAAATATTCTGAATTTATTTCGATCGTCCACTTCGTCTTTTGCACGAATTTTCGCAAGTTTTACTTTTTTCTTATGCTTCACACGCGATTCTATGCGTCCCATATTCGCGCTTTCCTTCTATCTCGTACGTATAGGTATTTGCACGTGAGCGAAAGCACTTTCCGATTTCTTCACGCCGCTGTCCTTCACTGAGCGACATAGTTCGCCAAACATTTTGGATGACAATGAAATTTGCTTCTCGTCGCAAAAGTTTTCTCATCGCTTAGTCATTAACTCTTCATTACTCGCGAGAGATGTCCAGAGAGATTCCAGTTTTATAAATTCGTTAAATTTATAGATGATATTTATATACACTATATTTATTAATTTATTATTTTTATTATTAAATTAAAAAATTATTTCACAATTAAGGCTATATTCCAGAGAACGTTCTTCTTTCTCTTCAAGAAAAATTTTACTCAAACTATATAATACACGTAACGTGTACTACATTTGTTGAGTAAAATTTTCAATTATTTTTACCTAAATAAAGGATGTATAAAATATTAGTTTTCATTTAATTGTAAATCATAAAAAGTTACAATAAAAATTTAGATATAATGTTGAGATGTTAGAAACATCATAGAGAGTAATTATAAAAATCACGCGAGTAATGTAAGGTTAAACTAAAACGGCGTATACTTCATATGTGATGTATATGCACTTAACTAATATCTATAATAATGTAACACTTTGGAGGCAGAATATATTTGTATTCTACTAACAAGGATTACCGCTTTAAATAAATTTAAAAAAATAATAACGATAAAAATCAGCAGAACTTTATGGAAACCTAAGATTGAGAGATTGTGAAGTGTCCTACATTTTCAATTCACGCAATTTGGCATGATATTACAGTACATTCTCCATAATTATTGGCACGTAACCGCAAATGTTCCAGATGTGGACCGATAATGTTGTCTAGACCAGTAAACAGGTTCGCGCCGACGAATTACAATTTCACTGACCGTCGACCAGAAAACAGGCGGACGGTGATAATCCCTTTGGACCCATCGGATCCCAGAAGAAAACAGAAGGAAGATCCCGAATACAAGTGACAAGAATTCAGACGGACACGCGACGGATTACAAGACTGCTAAAACGATCTATAATTAATTTGTTAATTGTTTTATTACATAAAGACGAGACGCCTCAACAATTCCATACCTGATAACTGAAACAGTTAAATTCTCTCAATTTTACAATTAATTAATTTTACAATTGTCATAATTTTATTCATAATGTAAAATATGTTGCAAATTCTGTAACTGTAATTCTTTTTTGTTTCTCTTGTTTTTAATATATATAGCAATGAGCAATTTCTTCTGCGATTTAGTGGTAAAAGAAATATTACATTTATAGTTCTACCTCCAAATCGCAGAACGACATGTTTTTCTAATTCCAAGGTGTTTTCGTACTAAACTATTGTATGTTGACTGTAAAATAATTAAGTCAAGAGACATTGTGATATAATAAGAAAATGACCGCCACAAGATTTTGTCAATGTTATTTATGTCATAGTTATTTCTTTTTGTATTTATAGTTACGATGAACAAATTACTTGTTATTTACCTTTATCATACGTGACATAGCAATAAATTTATAACATGACACACATGCAGGATTATCAATTACATCACATATATTCGTTAATTAGTATTTACATCTAAATCATATTATAAAATTCTTATTATTAATTACAATTGGACAAATACAATTGTTATACTCAATTATTGTTCCTCTCTGATTAATGTAGAGTCTAGATCTTCTGTACTTTGATTTATTGTCTTTTCACGTTTCTCAGCATTGTACAAATATGTAACAACAGCAGTGTTCGCACTCAGAATGTTGCTGTAGCTTTTACTGATAGATTTAAGAGAGTTGGTTATTTTATCTAAAACATAATACAATTATATATATTAACATATAAAATCATATCATACTATTTCAATAAGAAATATCAAATTATCTGTAAAAGACATTTCCTATAAAATTTTTCTTAGCTTTTAGATACTTCGTTCTATTCCCATATTATTTTTCCCATCAAATTATCATAGAAATCACATGAGAGAGAAGTCTACATTTCAATCAACATATAAAATCATATCATAGAATTTCATGTCAGTAAGAAATATAAATTTTTATCTAAACATTTCTTATAAAATTTCTCTGAATGAACTATCAAAATTTCTATGATGAAATGAACTATCTCATTTTATTCCCATTTTATTCCATTCCATCAATCATAGAATCACAGAGAGAGAAGTTTATATCTTAATATCAATATACAAAATATTGTAATTTCACGTTATAGGTAAGAAATACGAAGAATTATTTATGAAGCATTTTCTATAAAATCCTCTAATGGAGCTTTCTAATACTTCATTCTATTCCCATATTCCTTTCTATCGAACTGTTATAGAAATCACACGAGAGAAATTTATATACTATAGTTTTGATTAACTTACCGATAGAAGACACAATGTCAGAGATAGCTGATTCCTTCGTAGACTTTATCCGTTTTACTTCTCGTTCTTCCATTATATGTCACCTTGGCATTTCACGTCGCTGTCGGTTATTATACTCGATCCGTGATATTTTCATAAAATCTGAAAAAGTTCGTCCGTTTGTTGACATCTACGTGATGTCAACAGCTGACAAAAGGCGCGAAAGCGATTATCGCCAGCCGCCATGTTGCATGCGATTGATCAAGTGCACGCTTGCGCAGATATCGATTGTGACATATCGACGACAATGACAAGTAAATTTTAAACGACGATAGTTATAATTACGTAATATGATTTATGAAGGAAAATATTCAAACAATTAAAAAAAAAGTTGCTCTCTTGACAAGTTTAGTGATTGTCCTTGTTACGTGCAACGTTTCTCTCTATTCTTCTCTCTCTTTCACTTTCCTTTTTTCTCTCTTTCTACTCGAAAGGTCACATTCCTTTTTCCCTTTCCAATATCGTTTACACTCGCGAATGCTTTACTTGTGCAATCAACGAAATAAAAAAAGTGATAATAATTATAAATATTTATCTTTTTTAAAACTATATATTCAGTATATACGCACATGATCTTTATTTTTCGCGCGTCTAACGTGTGTGAAAAATATAACAACATATCGGATAGCATGATACAAATGTTATCATTTATAAAAAATTGTACTTTTTTCTTAATTATTAAATTGAGATTATTTCATGCAATTGTAGCAACTAATTTTTAATAAAAATCTCATCAGTTGAACAAAGAGAAAATCCATTTTAGTACATTAAGAGTCATCTAACGGATTCTTGAGCTATCAATACTGTAACTTGTCTCATTCTTGATAGATGGCATATTAATCCAAAAACGTGGACGACATAAATGTTATTTTTAGACGCTATATATGGCTGCATAGTGATGTTAAACTTTGGAATAGGCGCGTGAATTAACTTTTAACTAACAACGGTAGTAGACGCATTCCAGTTTTGGGCCAATACTTTTTTGTATGTATATGTATCGTAATTAAGTAATAATTAATAAGAAAAATATTCTCGAATTCTCAGAATCAGAAAATTGTTCAATTTTGTTTCTGATTTTGAATTATGATTCACATAAATATTTCAAATTTTCCGAATCACTAATTGTGTGTTTCTCTGATTCTCATCAATATTTAAAAAAAAATCCGTATTATTTATATATTTCTTGCAATGTATATTATAAATACTGACAATGAAAGACATGCGATGTTCAATGTTAGTGATGAAGAAAAGATAAGTGTTACTGTGCCCGCTATAAAATAATTAATTAAATTAAATTTTATAGGAATATACATATATATA